TACATATACATGTAATATTTGTATATATACAAAATTCCAGTTATATATATATATATTATACTAGCTAGGCCCCCTTTCGATGAAAGGGATGATCGGTACATTTACCTCAACTGAAAGTCATTGGCCTACTACCTCGACCTTTGCGAGCGTGAGGGGTTCCAACTACAGAACGTCGTTTTCTTTTCGGCATGGTCAGGCGCTATCTAGATCTAGATCTAGATTTAGATTCTTGTCTAAGACCTGTTGACGTTGTTCCCAGTAGCAAGAAAAAGAATTTGACAAAGGAGTCCGGAAAAAACGATGATGGGCATCAAACCAAAGGATCACAGTCGAATTTAGCACCAAGTAAAAGAAAACATGAGGCTAGATCTATACGGGTCTCACACTTAAAATAGTGCTCAGTATTGCGCGACAATGCGCGATCGTATTGAACGGAAGTACGACTTGAAATAAATAAACCTGGAGGATTTTCTAAAATTACAGAGACAGAAGCGTCGGTCTACAAAAGCGATCGGCGAAATAAAGAAATTTTGCTTTTTGCAGCAAAACTGTCTCATAACTGAAAAAACGAAGGGCGTCATGATCTGAAGAATATTTTTAAAAATCTTTAGGCGAAAACCATATGTCGATCGATGCAGCCATTAAAAAGCTTTTGAATAGCAAAATTTGGCCACCAGAAATAGATAATAGATAATATATATATAATGTCAAATGTGTATGCATATGTGTGTGCGTATGGTTGTATGTATCTACAGAGAGAGAGAGAGAGAGAGAGAGAGAGAGAGAGAGAAAGAGAAAGAGAAAGAGAAAGAGAAAGAAAGAAAGAGAGAGAGAGAGAGAGAGAGAGAGAGAGAGAGAGAGAGAGAGAGAGAGAGTGTGTGTGTGTGTGTGTGTGTGTGGAGAGAGGAGTCAGACAGAAAGAGAAAACGAGAGACACAGAAATATATACATTCAATTCTTTCTCGTCCATCATACACCGGAACTATTTTCTCTTTTTGCACCACCATGACCACCCTATCTGCTCATCTCATACATTGCCCACATGTATCGCCCCCAACACTCACTTCAAATACCCGAAAATGCCTGGTCCCTAGACGCCTCCTCTGATTGGCTGGAAACATGTATGGTCACGTGCAGTCTTCCCCCAATCTGGCGAGGAATCGAGCCACAGAGGGGATTTGTCGCATGACATGAATATGTGCCTTGCAAGCGTATGTGCATATGATTTGTGTTGTGTATGGCATGCTGTGTTTGGGCAACAAAGGAAAAGAGGATTAATAATATTCTACCAGAAGGTGGTATAATATATTACGAGAGGGTTCGTGATCGTTTTGAAGGTGTATGATATATATTTTGTGCGTGATATTTGATGTGTTTGTGTTTGTGTATGTGGTGTGTGTTTGTGTGTGTGTGTGTATGTGTGTGTAAGTGTGTGCATGTGTGGGTGTCAGTATGTGTATGACTCACAGTAACCGTCAACAGACCAATTTGTGAAGTCAGGGTCATCTTCATATGCGAAGGACGAACAACATCAAACATCATGTGTGTGTATGTGTCAGTATGTGTATGTGTGTCAGTATGTGTGTGTTTCAGTATGTATGTATGTATGTATGTATGTATGTATGTATGTATGTATGTATGTATGTATGTATGTATGTATGTATGTGTGTGTTGTTGTTGTTTATGTTGTTTATGTTGTTGTTGTTGTTGTTGTTGTTGTTGTTGTTGTTGTTGTTGCTGTTGTTGTTTTTTAGGCCTGTGGTTTGTGTAGCCTGGTATATTGTGTTGGCAATATCGCATTGGATCATCTGGAAGTGTTGTTTCAATTCTGTATTGACATCACACTTCTCACTCTCAAAATGTGAAACTTAACTGTTTGGCATACATTATATTGGTTAGACGATAAGACTGATTAGATAGATAGATAGATAGATAGATAGATAGATAGATAGATAGATAGATAGATAGATATATAGATAGATAGATAGATAGAGGGATAGATAGATAGATAGATAGATAGATAGATAGATGTTGTTGTTGTTGTTGTTGTTGTTATCGATCCAGCAACATCTGGGCTCTCGCCCTTCTGTCCAATGCCATGTAGTGATAAGTGCAGGTTTGCTGCAGTTGCTGTAATGTTCCGTAGAAGATAGATGTAAATTGAATGGTGATATGAGATCCACATAAAGATAAGGTCGTTTATAAGAAAAAGGAAAGGCTGCCCGAGTGGCAATAGGTGGGTTGCTGTGACGTGGACGGGAGCTGATGTATTGAGTCAATTAGGTGAATAAGAAGCAGAAAAAGGATAGTTTATAGACCCCTTATCTGGTGAAAGACATCGAAATCGCAGAACAATGTGTCAAAGGAAGAGAAAAGCTTAAATGAAATGACAATATCGTTTGACGTTTATACCCAACAAGTCAACAGGGGCGATCGGCTTATGAAGACTGACACTACGCAGGAAAAGATTTGGACATTTCTCAGATATTTATTGTTGGAGCTGAAGACAAACACATCGAAACGGTAAAGGTCATTTGGTGCTGGAAATGCGAGGCAGACTAATAAAAACCGCAACATGATAAAGAGAAGTAGAGCCAATAAGTGGGGCCCCGCAGAAGGAACTCTTTTGCATTAAAAGTATTTATTTATAAAATGTTTAAAGAAAAAAGAAACACCGTTCATTCTTGAAGTAACCTGAGGATGGAACTTCTATCTTGAGCCGATCAGTAGATCATTGTCACAAACACAGAAACAATTCCTTTGCATCTGTTCATTTTGAGTTCATGTCCTCGTCTTTAAAAGACTGCCGTGATTTTTAACATTTTGTTTAGTTTAGTTTTTATTCAGAGAACCACATCGGTCGCTCCTTTATCTCTGTTGGTATATTGTCGGACTTCGGAACAGATGGCCCTGGTTCGAATCCCAGAATGACGATATTGAACTGGGGGTCGTTTTGTGGACTATTTAAGGCGTAACGAAGACGGGCGTTAAATTTGGAAGTCCCGCCTCTTATATAATCCACCAGTGTAAATGGGCGTGTTAAACCAATACATTTACACTTACACATAGAAACACATTGAAATTACACGTATATCGGCAATCTCAAGCAGAGAAATGGAAATATAAGGAAAAGATAAGTATTAGATTGTAAAGTTTCTAATCTGATAGGTGAAGAAAATGAATACACCCACTGTAATAATAATTTAATGTCTTGGCTTTTCGATTTCATAAGTAGAAATACAAACACAATCCCCAACTTTGAAGAGACAAAATACTAACCTGTCCGGAAGAGGACAAGACTGGGATGATGCCATTCCCTTCTGAGAGAAAGTCAACGTAATTGTGTGTGTGAGCGAAAAAGACACAACGATACCACCAGGTGCCCCACCCAGATCCCTTTAACCGTAACCCTTGACATCTTTCCCAACCCTAAGAGCTATTCTTTCTGCCGGGTACTCCCCGCATCTGAGCGTTGTCACTGTTTACATTATTGAGAGGGGCCCAGACCCTTTTGAGTGTTTATCGCGGAGAACTCCAGACTAAAGGTGAGAGATCAAAAACAAAGGGAGCCACTTATAATATCATTACGCTGTCTCCTTCTGTTCGTGCCTGTCGTACGCTATATAGTGAATCGGAGTCTGAGAACTAGAATCTAGTAAGAATGGCTTAGGTGAGTATGTTGAAGTATATTTTTTTCTTCTCATCTAATCAGTCTTGGGCATTTTGAAGTATATTTTTTTCTTCTCATCTAATCAGTCTTGGGCATTTTGGAGTATGACATATATTTGTTATGTCTTTAAACATGGGTAGGGCAAAGAGGATGCGGGTCATCTTATCTAGCGTACGTATTCAACAGCTTGAGATTTTCTTGGTGTTTTTGTTTCGTTTGTTTTGTTTGGTTGATTGTTCGTTTGTTGTTGTTGTTGTTGTTCTTTGTTTTGTTGTTGTTGTTGGGGTTGTTTTTGTTGTTGTTGGGGGGGGGGGTAGGGTAATTTCCTGGAGAACATCGTCGAACGTGACAGAAAACATATTATTTCGAAATGGATCCCCACTCTATGAGATTAAAGAGTCTATATTTCTTTTCTGAAAATTTGCCTTTGAGGTGGGTTAGGAATGGGGAGGGTGGGGTGGGGGTTTCGGACCTTAAGCGAATATATTGCCTTGGCAAAAAGAGTGATATTGAAACAACAGGTATGAAGAAACGATATTATTCAAACAACAAAATGGTTCTAGTAACCTGATCCAATTGCTCGAGACAAACATTATAACCCTTCTCAAACGCCAGGACTGCTTCTCGCGCCTTTTATCTACCCGCCCAAGTTATAATCCCTACCCCTCTTTTCGTAAAACAAACACAAATCAAAACAAAACAAAATCTCGTCTGGATAATGTGTCTGTATTTCTTTTCATTTTTTTCCTCTCTCCTTTCTTTTTAGGCCCAGTTGAGTCAGCACTCCCAAATAAAATGTCCAAACAAACAAAATGACAAAATGACGCACCAAAAGATAACAAAACATCTTTTGGGTTTATACTTCTCTCAACTGTCTGTCTGTCTGTCTGTTTGTCTGTCTGTCTGTCTGTCTGTCTGTCTGTCTGTCTGTCTGTCTGTCTGTCTGT